TGTACGGTACAGCAGGAGGGAGGGAGGGAAGGAAGGAAGGAGAAAGTGCAAAAAGCAAAATAGAATAAGAAAGAAAATAAGTTAAAGAAACAAGAAAAAATAAGGCACTTCCAACCTTCTTTTCAGCAATAAAAAACTCATTATCCCTCCTCCCTCTTATTATTGAGAAAATCTCTTCAGCCCCTTCTTTAATCCTTTTTCAATCATCACAAGCATACATCATCACTTCTATTTCCTGCAAAAGTCCATAAAAGGTTTCCAGTCTTTTAGGAAAGTATTTTTTTTTATCCCTGAACAAGCAGGTCAGTTTTTCCCTTTCTGCCAATTCTGTCATCTTTACCCTCCATTCCTCCATTGTGGGAATTTCCGTATTTTTCCATCTTCGTGCATATAGTAGCTTTGCTGCAGTTATTGTGTACCACTGACTCTCAACCTCAGTAACTTTAAGAGGCGGGGAATTCTGGGAGTTGAAGTCCACGCCTCTTAAAGTTGCTGAGGTTGAGAGACATGGCCGTATACAAAGCCAACCTTCCATGAGCCTTTTCTAATTGGTAAGCTATAAGCCCCATCTTGACTTTTTTGACCTCCCTGCTCAGCAGGTGCCTTTTGCCCCATAACTTTCTTTTTTTTAATAATGAAGTTTAAAAAAAACCAGATAGAAACTAACAAGAACCAATAATCAAGAAAGAGAATAGAATGACTTCCTTTACAGCAGATACAAATAGAATCTCATCGTATCTCTTACTCTAAGATTTCAACTTAACATCCCTTTTTTCTATAATCTATTCATTTTACTAGTCACCAAATCCATATATCTTAACTTCATTTTTTTTCCTGTTTCCTGCAGAAAGTCAGAAGGGGCTTCCCATAACTTTCTGATGACGTTACCTAGTCAGGTAGCGAAACGTCTGCAAGCAAACAGCCCAGCTCAGAGAGCCCCGAGGACTCCATAACTTCCTCCACCCTTCCTGGGATCCTCCCAGAGTTGCCCCCGAGCTCTCAGAAAAATGCAGGGGGTCTAAACGCGCGGCTCCATCGGGGAGAATCGCTTGCAAAAACTCTGTACGTCAAGGCGCTCTGCAAAGAGAAACCTGACGCCTTAGCCAAAGTGAGAAACCCATCCAAACCACGATTGACAGTTTGGTTTCAAGGCTGGCCAGGGAAGCGGAGCGAGAAAGCCTCTAGCGCCCCCTGCTGGAGCTTCTGGCCTAGGACAGTCTGCCTGGAGCTGAGCGACCTTCTCTCCCCGCCCAGCCGAAGATCAGAGGGGCAAAAGCCACCGCGGCATCTCGGAGTTTCCCCAGCAATGCTCCCTCCTGTTTCCATGAATATTTTATCCCCAGCCTGACTTAATTTTTTGTTAACTGCTGCAAATCTCCAATTCATCAAACCTCCCAGCGCTTTACCTCCGACCTGCGACCCCTCATTCATCTCCCCGGCTTCGTCACTGACAGCGCTTAATGGCCGGCAAAGCTTTCTACTGACACTGACAGCAACAGTGATGGATGTCTCGCGTGGCCCGGGACGATTACGACCTGCCCTCT